AACTTAACGACCTGTTAAGTTGATCAACTTAACGACCTGCAAGCCAACTGGGAGCAGGCCGTTAAGTTGATCAACTTAACGACCTGTTAAGTTGATCAACTTAACGACCTGCTCCCAGTTGGCTTGTTAGCCCAATTGGTAGAGCGCTGCACTAGTATCGCAGAGGTCAGTGGTTCGAATCCCGTACAGGCCTGATTTTTTTCAGGTCTGATTTTCGCTATTGCATAAATGGCGCTATCTACTGCGAAGGATCGTGCATCATACGTAAAAATGTCACACTTAATCAATTAAGTTGTCTTTGTTGAGAAGGTCACGAGCATACACAACAAACTTTTCGTTTGTGTTTTACTCGCTTGACTCTTCTAAGCGACTGACTGATCTGTTCACGCGCTAGCGCGCAACTGAGGCATTCCGAATAAATATATCTTATTAAACGTTTTGTCGTGTAGTATCACTGATTATTACTCAACTGTGCTTTGCAGAGTACAAAGAACGCTTAAGACTAGTACAAATATCACGCATTATTTGTACTCCAGAAATATGCGCGAAATTAGCCCGCACCGAGATAATGATTTGGCGTATTGGATAATAAACGTATTAATCGTGGGTTAGGGTTTGAACCGACTCAAACTTCGGTACAAACCGACCGGATACCTTTAAAGACTACGCAGCCCCAAACAGTTTCTTTCGAAACTATCAGCCCTTACTTCTCTTTTAACCACAGGTAACGAGAATAAAGAAATATATCCAGTTAAAATACCATTTGATCTAGAATTAAATTCTCAGAATTAACCTCAAAGAGTTACGCTGCTTGAATTCTTCGACCCGCCTCCCCAAAGAAACTCGAGAGAGTTTCTTCTTATTCCCTGACTGAGTCGCTCGGGATGTGTTCAAAATTCAGCTGTATGCCCGTTGGTTTTTGACTGAGGACTGAAATGTTAGCTGAGCTAAGTTCAAATATGTGCGCATCCTATTGCACAACAAGCTAAACAATACCTGCCAATTTACTTCGAAAACTGTACAATATATAATGGACTATGGTCCAGCGATTAAGCATCGAAGCCCGAATTCCAAATGTCTCAAATCTCAACTGTTGCTCTTTTTCCCTCGCTCGCGACAATTAAAAGTGAAAACAAGCATATTTCTACAATTTAATTCTGTCTTTTCCTCATATTCCGTACTTTTCTTTTAAAGCTCTTCTAACTTCATTTCGTGCCACAAATGCAAATTATACGAAAATGATATAGTAACGTCTGATTGCTGCATCAAAATTATATTTATCTAAAATTTTCACAAAATTGCTATTATCTACCTTTTAACGTCAGAAGAAACCGTAGACCACCGGTGGCCTATTTGTCGCCTTACTCATTTCGATGCATCTTGCTTTTCCTGCCTATCATTCTGTGGTAAAGCATTATCGCACAGTCTCCCCGCGCTGGATGCTGCACTAAAGTAGTTTCCTTGTATTCACATTTGTCCTCGTACATACGAAACTCTTCATTATGAGTCACTTTAACTCCAGCTTTTGCTGCTAATATTCCGATGTATGCATCGTCGATTTTAAGAGGCTCTAAAACGTCAAAATACCGCAGGAGCTTTTCCACCACGTCGCGAGACAAAACGTAACCTCCTCCGCTACAGTATGGCTTATAAACGGTTTCATTATATTCCTCGGGTGAGACACCATATCTGCCATTTCGCAAAACAGGACTGCCGACCATGATATTACCTGTATAGAATTTACTCAGCGGCGTTGTATGTTTTGCTAGAAAATCAACGAGACCGAGAGTATTCACAAATACATCATCATCTGCTTTCAAAACGTAATAAAAATTACAGTATTTGACCGCCCATTCGAATCCCATCGCTACTTTGTAACTCATGTTCCAAAAGTGTTCTTGGTAATCCCCTTGCACAATGTCGCCGAATATTCTGGCTTCATCCGTAGCATTCTCCATTTCTCTCTCATTGCTGTTCTTTCCCATTAGAAAAACTGTTTTCCATTTGGTTTCGATCGAGTGATCAGCGCCCCAAGTTTTCCGTATCAACTGGCGCCTATCAAAATTTCCGACATTCGACGACACCAAAATAAGGAGAAGAATCGATTTTGGTGGACAAGCAGCGGTAGTCCGTAATTTTGTGCGAAGAATTTGATGCTGTGAATAAAAGTCTTTTTCTAGGAAATTGAAAGCATTTGTTTTAGGTTCTCTGAGTACAGAAGACGAAGACAGTAGAGTCACCTTGTGGTTGATATTTTTCAGTGTCAGCCATAAACTCAAGACAACCAGAAGCAAGAAGCAAATGGAAACTGACGGAAGGCACCTTCTCAAGCTACGAATCGCTAATGACAATAATCGTTGAAAGCCTCTTATCAACGTCACGGCGTGCCTTTTAAGTTCCATCTACCCGGTTGAGGTAACAAATGTTGTCAAAAGGAGAGAGAGACAAATCAGTTCGCACACACCAGAGGACACTGCTAGATCTTGTGTGAGGGTAAAGGAACAGTTGCAATGGCGATCCAACGACCTCTTAAATCGCAGTCAGTCTTTGGGAGGCGTTTAAGGATTGTGGTCAAATCCCTTGAGTTTTCTGCGTTAAAGAACATTTGGACCTGATTATTCAATATCGATGTATTCAATATCAATGTTGCAGCGGTGGCTGTCGACTTAAGTAAAGCTTTTGACTCTGTTTGTCACCCGCTTCTCCTGGCTAAATTAAAGGCATATGGTTTTACGCATGATGCGCTGGAAACTATGACCGCTTACCTTACTGGACGGAGACAGAGAGTCAAACTTGATGGTTTATATTCTTCGTGGAGAACCGTTAAAACTGGTGTACAACAGGGATCCCTGTTGGGTCCACTCTTATTTAATTTGTATGTTAATGATCTTAATTATTTTGTTGATCGAAAACATCAATACTGAAGCCGCTTCACGTTTGATTACTGTAAAGTCAATTCTTCGGTTGAAAAATCGAACTGATTCAAAATATGCCTAAAATTTTTTTTTCTGATTCAAGAAAGTCAGAAAATGCTTATAATCTATCGTCCTGTTACGGCGCGATCGATTAAAACTCAGCCACTCATAGCCACTAGTTTTTTCATGCTAGTCTTCGCTTCCTTGCAGTCGGGAGTGAATGATTGATGATTGTATATAGAACTTACCATATCATAATCGATATAATTATTCGATGATATTTCTTCCTATCATGTGCCTCAAACATTTGAGGCTTAACTCAATATGTTAGCGCAGAAACCACATCTGCTGTTTCATGCGAAAAAAGATAAGAAACAAAACAGAGGTCAGGAAAATTGGACAAAGCCCAATTTTTCTTCTTAGTTCACTCAGGCATGTAAATTTTGATTGACTTTTCTAAGTACCAACGTCTGTTACTGAAAACCGAGTTTGGTGCGCCCCATTTTTTTGTCACCTCTATTAGTGAAATGTTCACTCTTTCTACTATACCCAATCTGCACTCGAACAAGAGTTTACCACCGCGTATTATTGGATATTTTACCAGTATACTTTCTGTATTTCGCAAATCGTAGGTAAAGCTAATAACACAGTAGATTCGTTGTCGCGTTTGTCGTTCGAGCAAAATGATATTTTGTACACTGACTTTGTTTGTGAAGACTACATAAGATTTGTTTTCACATCAAATTTGTCAAGACATCACGCTTTCCCAATTACATGTTCAAATCATAGTTAATAACTATGTTCAAATTCAAAGCGGAAAATGCTCTCCGACGCGGGATCTCAAACCGTATGGTACAATAAGAGACGAATGGTCCAATTTCGATGGGATTGTTCTCCAAGGAAACCAAATTGTTGTGCCATGGTTGTTGCGAAAAATATTCTTAAATTAGCGCATGAGACCCATCAGGGAATCTTCAAGACTAACCAATTTCTTCGAGCTCGTTTTTTTTTCGGCCCGATATTGATGATGCAACAGAAACTATCTTCAAAAAATTGTCATGTGTGCGTTGTCAATCAGCCTCTTACTAAGTACACGACGCTTCAAACAATCGATGGAAAATAGATTTTGACTTATTATTCATCCTATCCGGACGCGTACATTTTCCAAAAAGGTCACTTGACGCGAAGTTATCAAAAGCGTTGACAGTTATGTCCGCCAGATTCAGGTTTCTAGAGGAAATCGTCTCTGACAACGGAAGACAGTTTGTCAGAGTCGACGTCGAAAAAATCCGGATCGGATCATGACCGGATCGCGGGCCGGATCTTGGATCGGATCATGAATCGGATCACGGATCGGATCAGAGAAAAAAAAAGTTTTAAAAAAATGAAAAAAAAATCTTATATAAAATAATGATAACTTAAGAAATAAACATGAAAAACTAAAATATGTTAAACGAAAATTAGGAAAGTTGCGCGTGAAGCCAAAATAAGTCTGTGTGACATAATAGAGCGCAGGCCCCTTGAAGTCACTTTCAAAGCTGTGTCGAGGAGTGTTGTGTAATGCCGCCATGGACAAAGGCAAGCAAGAGGTACGTATCTTTCCATCAGTAAGGTTTTATTATCATGTATGTTTCTTAAAACCATCTCACTTGCAACTTTTCCCTTTTTCGTCATCATTTAACACACGGAAGTATGCTTTTGTTCAATCGCGAACTTCGAACAAAACTACCGCACATCGAGTTCGGTTCAAAAAGAGCATAATTGGCACTCGACCGCGATCATCGGTCAAAATGCAATTTGTATCAAGTGCGTTCGAAGGACTATCACGATAGTAGGCAACATGCAGAACCACATAACTGGCGATCTCGTTTTTTGTGCCAATATGAAGCCAAACAAACTAGATTTAAATTTTCTCTGCGGCCGAGCTCGTAATTATTGAGACTAAAGCGAGAGACACTTTAAGTTTATTTAATGTGGACCTGACAGGTACCACTTTGATAAGTACTCTGAAGTTCCTCAAACATGCGTCCAGCAAGCATATTGGTAATGACATCAGTTGATGTAAATAGTGTTAAGACTGAGGAGTCTGATGACTCTTCACCGAAAACTACTGACGCTTTCAAAATTATCGGATCCTCTAGCAAGGTTGTGGAGCAGGTCTTCCAGAGTGACAAGGCTATCACCACAAAGTCAGGAAGGGTAGTTCAATCAACGAGGGATAGTGACAATTTCGTTGACTATTGAATTAACTATAGTCTGATTCAGTTAAAGCTTTTGATTGCATTAAATATATTCGTTATGATTCTTTGAACATTGCCCAGGAAGGATGTAATGTATTGATAACATAGTAAAAGTACTTGCACCAATGTTAGTAATACTGCTGTAGGACTACCGAACGATGTGAAAGTACTGAAATCAAGTAACATGATTATTGCACCAGCTTATGAAATACTTGATCGGTTAATAAAGACAGAATATGAAAGCAATGAAAGAGTGAGTGTCGTCACCAGATAAATACACAACAGTGTTTTAAAGAAGCACTGGACCCACTGCCTGTGTGCGTCAATAGCTCGCCCTTCAGAGATTTGTGCTACCCAATTACCCAGTAGCCCTTGCGAAGATGTTTGTTTGTCTTTTTACTCGGGCTTCCGGAGGAAAACCCGAGTCTGAAAATGCAGGCCGTTTTGGTCGCCAAAAGATGGGTCATGGTCCCAGGCGTTCCTTGCGTAAACCGCGGAAACTGGGGATGAGAGTGCGATAGCTTGTGTTATCATGAGCTCGCTCTTCGTAAACAGCGTAATTTACAGAATGTTGTGTTTTTTGAAAGCCGCTTTGCAAAGATTCCTCTCTTATAAGCTCATCCCACATGCAAACGCACACGCCGTTCGTGGTAGGCTCACGCTAAATGATGTCGAGTGTTTTCGGAATGGACCGGTCCACGAACTTCGTCGCTTGAAAGTTAGCCAAATGTGGAAAGTTCATACTAGTTCTCACGAGATAACAAATGAGCCATATGTGAGTTCAAACTACGAAAATACTGGCAAAACTGTGACGGCCGATTTAACAACAAACTATGATGCTGAGACGAAAACCTCACTTCCTGAAATAAAATCAAGAATGTTCGTGAACACATCTTCGAAGGTGGCGCTAACAACAGCGAATTGGATACGGATACTGACCAGGGGCGTAGCCAGGATTTTTCAAAGGGGGGGGTCATAGAGGCTACTCACTAGATCGTCACATCGACCTCCACGCTGTGCATGCTTTACGTAATGTTAGTTTTGGGATGAGCAGTGAGAGTATAATAGGCAGGCCAAGACATTGTCATAGCGTTTTCACCACCTGAATATTGTAGGTTGTTTGCTCAAAAGAAGGCCTACCAGGGGGGTCACGGGCACCCCGGGACCCCCCCTGGCTACGCCCTTACTGACAGAAGCAAGTTAAATAGGTGGTTTGCACGTTACGTCATCGCCGCCATGTTGGTGGTAGGCTTTTGTACATTATGCTAGCATTTTTCGAACATTTTAGTGAGGCAAAAGCATTGAGCATTATTCGAGCATTTTAGTGGCATTTTCCCGGAAAATTAATCTTTTGCGAGAAAATAAAATAGAAATTAACTTTTTTCAGTCCCGCTTTTAATTCACGAAAAAACCTAATACAGCTGAGTGGAGACTGAGGACAAGTCAGCGGTTTTACCTTTCAAGACTGAAAAGGCGGCCATGTTTGTTTTCTTCGTGACCCGTGTAACGCCTTCGTTTGCTCAGTGTCATTGATGTCAGATCAGTCTCAGTCAGCTAACAATCCTGACAAGGCTGACCCGGCACCGGTACAAAGACAAAGACAAGTATAATTACATATGATGCACGATCCTATGTAATAAACTATATAAACTTCATATATTTCATTGTATCACAAGTATAATTGATGCCTTGAAAGCCACGACTGCTTCAGACTTGGCTAGGAAACGAAAGGTTCCATGTAATTTACAGCACAGTGGAAAGCGTTTTGTGCAACCAAAGGGAACCAGCAACCCTAACGTGAGTATTCGTCAGTGTTAAACGGAATTTCCAGGAGAAAACTTCAAGGAATCTGCAGGTAAGTTATTTTGTACTGGTTGTAGAGAGGAAGTTGGGCTAAAGAAGACAATTATTCAGCAGCACATAAAATCATCGAAACATAGCAAGGGGAAAGAGAGATTAGCAGTTAAAGAGAGCAGGGAACAGGATATTGCAAATGTGCTTATAGCATATGACAACGAAAATCATCCATGGCCCAACGACTGTTTATAGATTCAAAGTGGTTCGCGCTTTCCTGAAAGCTGGCGTTCCCATCAATAAGATAGATCAATTTAGAGAGATTTTTGAAGACCAAGGCTATTCGCTGTCACACAGCTCAAATCTCTCCACCATGATTGATGTAATAAACAAAGAAGAGAAGGAAAAAGTGAAGAAGGAAATAACTGGAAGGAATGTATCCGTCATCTTTGATGGTACAGCACACGTTTCAGAAGCTACGAACATCATTGTTGGATTTGTGTCTGATGACTGGAAGATTGAACAGCATTTAGTCAAATTGCTGCTTGTGAAAAAATCAATGACTGGTGAGGAACTTGCACAGCAGCTACTGTCATGCCTATCCACAAATTTAGGTATCAACTTGGCTCTTCTTTTGGCAGCCACGAGAGACAGGGCTTCAGTAAATGATGTGGCTGTTCGAACACTAAAAATTCTTTACCCAAATCTAGTTGACATAGGATGCTTCAGTCATACCCTAGATCATGCACTGAGGAGAGAAAATGGAAACACCCGTCTTGCATCAGTTTATAAAGGCTTGGATAGGTCTTTTTGCTCACAGTCCGAAAAGCAGAATTGCATTCAAAACACAGACAGGACAAATTCCCAAAACCCACTCTCCTACCAGATGGTGGTCAAAGTTTGAAGTTATAAAACAAGTCCATGATTTGTTTGGTGACATACCTAACTTTCTTGACACAACTGATTAACCAGAAGTTGCCAGGAGGAAGCTGACTGACATTTTGTCAACCGCAGCAGCAGGCTCTTTTGAAAATTGAGCTTGGAGCCACAGT